GGTGGAGCCTCAGTAGGGCTGCCACTGCCCACTTTGTTCCTACATGCAGTGCATCTTTGTCCCAGCACTGACTGGATAGACACCACCACCTTGTATGCGTAATACAGTCATATTCATATATGGATTATACCTACACGATACAAACAGAAGAGATGCATTTGTTTTCATTTCCATAGGAAGTTGTATTGCCACTTGCAATTTCAGATACTTGTTAAATTTCCAATGGTAACATTTGATTTTGAAACTTTCATAATAGGTTACAACACTGGAGGATCAGAACCTAGCGCAAGGGCATATCTCATGATGTTTATCAAGTGGACTTAATTGTGTCCAACTTATAAGGGCATGAAAATTAGTCTACTCAAGGAGATTGGATAACAAATTTCACTGTACATGTTCCAATTATTAGCAAATCATTTGCTTTGAAGCTTCTGATAAAAAAAAACACACAAAAAAACAAACGTCTGAGTCTTGCATGTCATACTTGGATAATGGGAGACACATATACTTTCTAACTTTGCAGAAATTCCTAGGTGTATCTGAGTCCTCAATGGCTTTGTAAATTATATAATAAATGTTCTTTGCTGACGTCTATTCAAGAACTGAGTCAAGAAGTGTTGGGTATGAATTGGCAGAAGTTTCCGTGAGATATGCAAGCTGAAGATTTACAGAGAGAATGAAAATTTACATCCTTAGCAGGTGTTTTGTTGAAGGCTTGTAATAGTCTCCTAGAAGGTTTACCTTGCATGTCTGGTATCTACAGAACAAATAGCCTCTGCTTGCACTGACCTTGATATCATTATGAAATATTTTAACAGACGGAAACTTGGGAAAACATTTCTAATATATTAGATACCACCGTGCTAAGCGCAGCATCAGGAATAAAGGTCTTCTCTATGTTTCTGTTTACTATATGCTGGAGACGTGCCAGCCTATCAAAGCTAGCATGAATATGTAGATCATTTTGCCTTTGACCAAGTTAGTACCCAGGTTTGGAATTATTTTCCATTAATATTTGCAATAGCCTGAAAATTTTAGGAGGACAAGAAGCAGAAAGTTATTCAAATATTTAAGGAAAAGTTATATGTGGTATCATTAAAGGCAACTTCTTAAGGAAAAACTACTTCAAAAGAAAATGACATTAAGTAATTGTACTGGACGCAACATTATATTGACTAATGTTTATCCTGATTGGTTATTTGATTAGCCAGTAACATTGAAATAATCACTTAATGTGTCTGCTTTCCTACTTTATGAAAGGAGAAAGCAGAACTAAATAGTTTATAGGTTCCTTTTGGTTTCACAATTCCATGAGTTAATGAAGGCAAATACAAGTAAGACATAGGCAACACTAAAAATAAAAAAAAATTAGAAATCACGCTTCATTAAAAAAAATAGTGTATCAGGAATGTGTAAGTAGCAGTCCACACTAAAGAATGCAGAATGGACACCTGTGGTACCTAGAGAAGGGCAGGGCAATGAATAATCAACATAATAAAACAAATTCCTAACTTTTTAAGTAACTTCTTTAAAACTCACCAAAAAATAATAAACTTACTTTCCTCTATACATAAAAAAATTATGCACATGAGGTTATAGCTTCTGTGTTGGTTTACCTGAATTGTTTGTGTTATAGTTCTTCTGCTATTACATTCATAACAGGAAAGATCATGGACCCTGGATGAGGTGAGAACTGAGGGCTAAAGAGAAATAACTCTTTACCCCAAATGATGCAGTCTGAACTCTACCCTTATTTGAATGCACTGAAGACTCCCAAATGCACTACATGTGTCATCACACAAATAAGTCAGCATCACTTCCAAAAATGTATTTATTATATCAGCTAGCTAGGGATTTAGGGAAGGGATGCAATGATTAGTGAAAGGGGATAAAAATTCCAATTCTGAGATATTGGCAAATGCCCCTTAAGACTAGCAAACAGCAAGCTAAGAATCTTGGGACAGCAGGGGGCCCTCAAGGAAGTAGGGATGAGGTTGAGTGGCACAGACGGTATCAGAAAGAAAGGGAGAAGGAAATACTATATAGGCCAAACTTCAGGAACTAAATGCTTCCACTTCCCTCACAGAGGTCTATATATGTCTCCTTCTGATCTTAGAATCCTCATTTACCCTGATTTTGCTCATTAAAAATGTTTGATTAACTTGCTTCCACCAAGACTGATGCCAGAGAAAGTTACAATAACAACTGCAAGAAGTGGCTACTAGTAGAGAGATTGAAGGAAAAAAAGTAACAACACTGTTAAAACCAGAGGCAAAAACTTGAAAAGACAAGTGGTCTAGGCCACTTGTGGGACTAAAGGAAGATGAGCCACTTAAACGTGTGCCATGCACTTGTTTCTTTTCCATTTAGATGTGCTCTGCACCAGGACTGTGAGCCTCCACTTCTCGGTGTTCATTACCCTTCTGAGGCCGCTGCAGAAGACACAGAGCTTGTCTCTGCCCACGACCTCCTCAGGATTAGAGTGAGGCCATCTGAAAAGAAGACTCCTCTGACTGGGAAGAATCTGATGAGAGCTAACTTGAGACTTAAATTCCTGCTTACCTGTGAGAACCCAAATATATTGTGAGAACATAATAACAATTAACCAGTTAGAAAAGGCTTTGGTATTGCCAAATATTTACAGCACCCAAAGAGTCACCTTCAGGAGAAAAGACCTATGATATTGTGTAAGCAAAATATTTGTCTTTTACTTAACTGACAGAGATTCATCTCTCATTTTGGTTCTATGTAGACAGGCAAGAAATATTTATTGGGTGCCTATTGCATTCACATAACGTGCTTGGGAATATAAGATATTCTAACATCTTTTACAGTAATGGTCCTATGAAAAGAGCATAGCCTGGCTAGATAAGCAATGCACTTAAATGAGAAGTTAACAAGCAAGTGCTATTGAATTTTTAGAGAGGGCACACTCATTTCCAGGTGAGGCAAACAGGAAATGCTTCCTTGATATGCTTACATTTGAACTGAGCCTTTAGAGTTCCAAGGGATACTTGGGGATGAAGAAATACCATATTTTTCAACTGTAACATACAACTTGTTGGGTTTTTGACATTTAACGTTATCCAAATCCACATATGCATGACTAATAAAGGTGTATGTTTAACTTCGTAAATGTATATCTATCTCCCATTAGCTTCCAAAAGCTATGTTTAAAATGATTTGTCATCTAAACATCAGTGATATTTTAAAATTGAGGAAACCTAGTATGCTCATAGCATGGCAGGGCAAGGACATTCTGGAATAAAGACAGTAGTACTGAAAATGTAAAAAATGTAAAGGGAGATTTGCTGGAAGGATGGATGGCATATAGATGATTTTCTTTGCTGTGTGACTTGAGCTCAGTCACCAAACCTCTCTGTGCTACGGGTTAATTACCCATGAGACAGTGCTGGGAGGAAGGGGAAAAAAACATGATTATAAATTGTTTGCTTAATATAAAATCCTATATAAATGAGTAACAAGTGTTAGGAGATATGTTTAATTAGATATTGATTAAGTTATAGAGCCTTATCTGGCCTTAAAGAAGCTGTGTATTTCTATTTGCAGTTGACTCCAATTTGCCTTGTGAACATGCACATAGTTGTACCAGTAAATAAAAGTAAGAGGTCTTACAGAGAAGGTGAAGAATGGATTAGCTGGAAAGCCAAGGTAAAAGACATCAAGGCTCAGCCAAATGACAAAGTAAAGAATAACAAATTCAACTTTCCTTGAAATAGAGATAGCTACACAATGAATATGATGGCTACTTCATCCTAGAACCAGGCAGGAGTTGGCAGGGCCACATTGTGATAAAATATCAGTGAATATCCCTTGATAATGAGTCTATCCTGGCTCCTTTGAGATAGGAGAAAGGAAAGTGCTAGCTGAGATTAATAGGCATGTGATTGCCTCCAGCCGTGGATAGCCATGGATGTTTATGTGAGTCACCCTAAGGAAATAGTAGAAGGTATGAACCAAGGTGGGCCAGAGTCTGAAATCCTTTCTCAAATAAAAAAGCCTGATCTCTAAACTATTATGTTTGCTACCATCCCCACCCCATGGTTTTTGCCCTGCCTCCCACCCATCTGGGCTTACATATGCATTTTGTCTCTTAACCAAACCCACCACGCATCCAGGTAGATGATGTAGAATCCATGGTGGTTTGTCTCACACTGCACTGTTCTCTTTATTATTTTAACCTAATAGTACATATTTTGTATTTGCTTAGTTTGTCCCGTATTATCTTGTGGCATTTTATGTTGTTTTCTTATATTATCTAAATCATTGACACACCAGAAGGTTATAATCAAAGCGAAGGTAACAGACTCCTAGAGGGAACAGCATGTACCATATTTGTTTTTATACTCTCCACTGGACACAAGAGAAAGGAAGGGTTTCAAAAATATTTCTTCAAAGAGTGAAAGAATGAATGAGAAAATGAATATATTTTATTCTTCAGGTAGTCAACACCTGAGATGGGCTACATGGAATCAGTGAGGGGGCCTGTATTCCCCAACTCTGGCTGTAGGCCATATTTCTGGACACTGACTAAGAATTCCCTGTGGCAATTCTTTTAGTTGTATCTTTATAAAGAAATCAGAAATACTTAAACAGTGTACATATCAAGTCTGAATTGAATTCCACCTGTGAGATTGGTGATTAAATACTGCAATACTCAAAATGTACCCCAAAAGAAAGAGGCTTAGTTTGGTTTAATGACTGCTATTATTTCTATTTGATTTATTTTCATATTGACTGTTCTACATGTTTTTTTTCAGCATAAAAGACTATATATGATGTGTGTATAATATTTATTCTGTGTATATATAATAGCAAGTTGATTTTATATAGTACATGTAAATATATAATGTATATCTGTATGTAGATATGTATAAATTATATATATATATATAT